CCTCTCTCCCCCACTCTCCCCCGTCTCCCCCCTTTCACTCCTCATATCCTCCTCTCTCTCCCCCCCCCCTCCTCTGCCGCTCTCTCCTCTCTTCTCTCCCCCTCTTCCCCTTCTCCCGTTCTCTTGTACTTCACCCCCTCCCCCCGTTTCCCGTCTCTCCTGCTCTCCCCCTCTTCGACTCGCTCGTCCTTCCCCCCCGTCTCCCCCTCGCTCCTCTCTCCCAACCCCCCCACCCGTCAGGTATTTGTCGACAGATTCGCTCCTCCCAAGCCGATTCTATCCCAGCAACAGTGTGCCACGCTCTCTGATTATTGCGGTAGTACCAACCCAACCCCAGTGCACCTGTTTTCGTAGTTTTTCTCTGCAGCAATAACCGCCATTACAACGGTATTACAACAGTCGGTTTACATCCCACCGCTATTGCAACGCAAGCAGCAAGCACATGCTGTCTGCTGGCGGACGTATGTATCCAATAATTTCAGGACAAGCATTAACACACTTGCTCTGTTGTCCAATCCCATTCTACCACGTGGGTGCAGGAGGAACGTTCACAGGGATGAGGCAGCACTTGCCCTGTGAGTTAGTAGTATTGTAGTCTGCATAGCTAATTCCCATTGGTAGGTCTAGATGCTTATAGGTCTTGATGCTTATAGGTCTAGATGCTAATAATAAGTCTAGTCTAGTGCCTGTAGGCCTAGATGCTTACAGGCTAACTTTTGCCAACAGGTGCAAATTGACTAGCTGCCTGTAACCAGAATGCCGCAATCTGCCAATCGAACACTGAGACAAACCCACAGTGCATTTCGAATTTAAAGAAAAAAAACCACATAACTGCGCACTCTCTTGCACTCTCTCTCCCTTTCCCAACACCCCCCTCGGCCACCAGACATCCGAGGCATGGGATTTGACGCGCTGCTGATCGGCCCAGTAACAGTCAACAGCCCCTATGGCTACCACGGCTACTGGCCTCGCGGCTTCACCATGCCACCTGCCGGAGCAGAGGGAGAAGAAATAGCACAGGTATGTAATGGCCGGTCAGCTCAGTTTCTAAGACCTAAACAATGCCGATCTGCCCAGAAACATTCAACAGCCCTTATGGCTATTAACAGCTGCCGTTGAGCTCAAAGGCTTGGTGACCCACCTTTCCCATCCTCGCCTCCCTTGGTCCCTCGCTTATCTTTACTTTTCGGTAGGTGCCCCTCCAGAGGCGGCCATCACCCTCCGTTTTTATGTTGCCGGAAGCTGAATACCTCCTCTCCCTCTTTTGAGGCGCCTCACAACCCTCTGTGGGCCCGTCTCCCTCTTTTGAGGCGCCTCACAACCCTCTGTGGGCCCGTCTCCCTCTTTTGAGGCGCCTCACAACCCTCTGTGGGCCTGTCTCCCTCCCTCCACCCCTATCGTAGTCCATTCCACGTCTGTCCGTCCCACTGTGTGCCCCTTCCTCGCTCCACCAGGCGGCCATCAACCCCCATCTCGGTACTCCCGAGGAGCTTAAAGCCCTGGTGGAAGCGGCTCATGCCATGGGCTTCCTGGTGATGATTGATGGTGCGTTTCTGGCTTGGCAATTGTGATGATTGATGGTGCGTTTCTGGCTTGGCAATTGTGATGATTGATGGTGCGTTTCTGGCTTGGCAATTGTGATGATTGATGGTGCGTTTCTGGCTTGGCAATTGTGATGATTGATGGTGCGTTTCTGGCTTGGCAATTGTGATGATTGATGGTGCGTTTCTGGCTTGGCAATTGTGATGATTGATGGTGCGTTTCTGGCTTGTCAATTGTGATGATTGATGGTGCGTTTCTGGCTTGGCAATTGTGATTATTGATGGTGCGTTTCTGGCTTGGCAATTGTGATGATTGATGGTGCGTTTCTGGCTTGGCAATTGTGATGATTGATGGTGCGTTTCTGGCTTGTCAATTGTGATGATTGATGGTGCGTTTCTGGCTTGGCAATTGTGATAATTGATGGTGCGTTTCTGGCTTGGCAATTGTGATAATTGATGGTGCGTTTCTGGCTTGGCAATTGTGATAATTGATGGTGCGTTTCTGGCTTGGCAATTGTGATGATTGATGGTGCGTTTCTGGCTTGGCAATTGTGATGATTGATGGTGCGTTTCTGGCTTGGCAATTGTGATGATTGATGGTGCGTTTCTGGCTTGGCAATTGTGATCATTGATGGTGCGTTTCTGGCTTGGCAATTGTGATGATTGATGGTGCGTTTCTGGCTTGGCAATTGTGATGATTGATGGTGCGTTTCTGGCTTGGCAATTGTGATGATTGATGGTGCGTTTCTGGCTTGGCAATTGTGATGATTGATGGTGCGTTTCTGGCTTGGCAATTGTGATAATTGATGGTGCGTTTCTGGCTTGGCAATTGTGATGATTGATGGTGCGTTTCTGGCTTGGCAATTGTGATAATTGATGGCGCGTTTCTGGCTTGGCAATTGTGATGATTGATGGTGCGTTTCTGGCTTGGCAATTGTGATGATTGATGGTGCGTTTCTGGCTTGGCAATTGTGATAATTGATGGTGCGTTTCTGGCTTGGCAATTGTGATGATTGATGGTGCGTTTCTGGCTTGGCAATTGTGATAATTGATGGTGCGTTTCTGGCTTGGCAATTGTGATGATTGATGGTGCGTTTCTGGCTTGGCAATTGTGATGATTGATGGTGCGTTTCTGGCTTGTCAATTGTGATGATTGATGGTGCGTTTCTGGCTTGGCAATTGTGATGATTGATGGTGCGTTTCTGGCTTGGCAATTGTGATGATTGATGGTGCGTTTCTGGCTTGGCAATTGTGATGATTGATGGTGCGTTTCTGGCTTGTCAATTGTGATGATTGATGGTGCGTTTCTGGCTTGGCAATTGTGATTATTGATGGTGCGTTTCTGGCTTGGCAATTGTGATGATTGATGGTGCGTTTCTGGCTTGGCAATTGTGATGATTGATGGTGCGTTTCTGGCTTGTCAATTGTGATGATTGATGGTGCGTTTCTGGCTTGGCAATTGTGATGATTGATGGTGCGTTTCTGGCTTGGCAATTGTGATGATTGATGGTGCGTTTCTGGCTTGGCAATTGTGATGATTGATGGTGCGTTTCTGGCTTGTCAATTGTGATGATTGATGGTGCGTTTCTGGCTTGGCAATTGTGATTATTGATGGTGCGTTTCTGGCTTGGCAATTGTGATGATTGATGGTGCGTTTCTGGCTTGGCAATTGTGATGATTGATGGTGCGTTTCTGGCTTGTCAATTGTGATGATTGATGGTGCGTTTCTGGCTTGGCAATTGTGATAATTGATGGTGCGTTTCTGGCTTGGCAATTGTGATAATTGATGGTGCGTTTCTGGCTTGGCAATTGTGATAATTGATGGTGCGTTTCTGGCTTGGCAATTGTGATGATTGATGGTGCGTTTCTGGCTTGGCAATTGTGATGATTGATGGTGCGTTTCTGGCTTGGCAATTGTGATGATTGATGGTGCGTTTCTGGCTTGGCAATTGTGATCATTGATGGTGCGTTTCTGGCTTGGCAATTGTGATGATTGATGGTGCGTTTCTGGCTTGGCAATTGTGATGATTGATGGTGCGTTTCTGGCTTGGCAATTGTGATGATTGATGGTGCGTTTCTGGCTTGGCAATTGTGATGATTGATGGTGCGTTTCTGGCTTGGCAATTGTGATAATTGATGGTGCGTTTCTGGCTTGGCAATTGTGATGATTGATGGTGCGTTTCTGGCTTGGCAATTGTGATAATTGATGGCGCGTTTCTGGCTTGGCAATTGTGATGATTGATGGTGCGTTTCTGGCTTGGCAATTGTGATGATTGATGGTGCGTTTCTGGCTTGGCAATTGTGATAATTGATGGTGCGTTTCTGGCTTGGCAATTGTGATGATTGATGGTGCGTTTCTGGCTTGGCAATTGTGATAATTGATGGTGCGTTTCTGGCTTGGCAATTGTGATGATTGATGGTGCGTTTCTGGCTTGGCAATTGTGATGATTGATGGTGCGTTTCTGGCTTGTCAATTGTGATGATTGATGGTGCGTTTCTGGCTTGGCAATTGTGATGATTGATGGTGCGTTTCTGGCTTGGCAATTGTGATGATTGATGGTGCGTTTCTGGCTTGGCAATTGTGATGATTGATGGTGCGTTTCTGGCTTGGCAATTGTGATGATTGATGGTGCGTTTCTGGCTTGGCAATTGTGATAATTGATGGTGCGTTTCTGGCTTGGCAATTGTGATAATTGATGGTGCGTTTCTGGCTTGGCAATTGTGATGATTGATGGTGCGTTTCTGGCTTGGCAATTGTGATGATTGATGGTGCGTTTCTGGCTTGTCAATTGTGATGATTGATGGTGCGTTTCTGGCTTGGCAATTGTGATGATTGATGGTGCGTTTCTGGCTTGGCAATTGTGATGATTGATGGTGCGTTTCTGGCTTGGCAATTGTGATAATTGATGGTGCGTTTCTGGCTTGGCAATTGTGATAATTGATGGTGCGTTTCTGGCTTGGCAATTGTGATAATTGATGGTGCGTTTCTGGCTTGGCAATTGTGATGATTGATGGTGCGTTTCTGGCTTGGCAATTGTGATGATTGATGGTGCGTTTCTGGCTTGGCAATTGTGATGATTGATGGTGCGTTTCTGGCTTGGCAATTGTGATAATTGATGGTGCGTTTCTGGCTTGGCAATTGTGATGATTGATGGTGCGTTTCTGGCTTGGCAATTGTGATGATTGATGGTGCGTTTCTGGCTTGGCAATTGTGATGATTGATGGTGCGTTTCTGGCTTGGCAATTGTGATGATTGATGGTGCGTTTCTGGCTTGGCAATTGTGATAATTGATGGTGCGTTTCTGGCTTGGCAATTGTGATGATTGATGGTGCGTTTCTGGCTTGGCAATTGTGATAATTGATGGTGCGTTTCTGGCTTGGCAATTGTGATGATTGATGGTGCGTTTCTGGCTTGGCAATTGTGATGATTGATGGTGCGTTTCTGGCTTGTCAATTTTTATGGTGATGATTGATGGCGGGTGGACGGTGATGATTGATGGTGGGTGGACGGTGATGATTGATGGTGGGTTTTTGGCATGGCATGGCACAGCACGTCAAATGGGAATGTGCAGCTCGTGCTGTGGATGCCATGCCGCGCATGCCATGGTGTTCCTTGTGAGGATAGATGGTGCGGACCTGGCGTGGCATGGTATTGCATGGCACGGGATGGCATGGCATAGCATGGCATGGCATGGCATGGCATAGCATGGCACGGCACGGCATGGAATTGATACTTTCCCCCACAGCCCAAGGCTCCTTTCCTCTCATTGGCTCTTCCCATCTTCGTCCCATCCTCTCGTCCTCTCCCCACCTCCCCACCCCCCACGCCACCCACCAGTGGTACTCAACCACGTGGGCTGCCCTCAGGGTGGGGGGCCGTGTGACACGTGGCAGGAGGGGATTCGCCCTCCACCGTGGCTCAATGATAGCTATGCTCCCTTTAATGAGGTGGGATGGAGAATGGGGAGGAATGGGATACAAGGGAAATGTTTCTTCGGTAACTGTGCTGCTCTCCCATCCGCTCTCCCGCTTTTCTTTCATTCCTCCCTCACTTTCTCATTTTTCCGCTCTCATCGTCCCCTTCTCGTTTTCTCTCATTCCCTTTCCCCCCCTGCACTGCCAAACGCCAGAGCGTCTCCTTCCACCCGCCCTGCGAGGTGGATTTCAGCCAATACGATGCCGACAACTGGCAGCGCTGCTGGCTTGCCAGCCTCCCAGACTTCAACCAATCGAATCCCACCATTGCCGCAGCACTCGTGAGGTCCACAGGTGAGTGAGTGAGTGACAGCGGCTTGCGTGGACACTCAGTGTGACAACGTCTTGTGTATCCTCATGCACGCAGCTCAATATCTACTCGCATGCCCATGCTCATGTCATCAGACTCATGTGGATGAGCACTCTACCACTCGTTAAAACTTATCTCCTCCTTTCCCTCTCCCTGCTCCCCGCCAGCCTATCTCGTGCACACGTTCGCATTCGACGCCATACGAGTCGATGCAGCACACCACATGCCACCCGAGTTCGTCCGCTCCCTCGCCTCCCACCTCCGAGTGCCAGCCTTTGCAGAACTATCCATCCCCTTGCTGCCGCTCCCACACCGTCTGCTGGCAGGGAGAGCGTACACGGTGAGTGTGTAGTGCAGTGCAGTGCAGTGCAGTGCAGTGCAGTGCAGTGCAGTGCAGTGCATACACACCGTCGTCTGTACGTGTTGCCCCTCCCAGGCTCCCACCATGTGTGCAGTGCAGGCGGTGGTGCAGTCCATGCATTCATGCAATGCTCCCATTTCCCCTCTGGATACAACTCGTGATAACAGTAGTGTTTTGAGACGTCTCACAACACTACTGTTTATAGTGTGTTTTTGAGTGTTCTCAACACCCTGCAGTCCATGCATGCAGTGCTCTCCCTTTCCCCTCTCAATACAACTCTGGCACTGTGAGTGATGTGAGTGTGTGTAATCCCTCCACGCTTCCTGTTTCGTGTTTCTCCTCTCTACTGTTCTGTTCTCCCTGCATGCAGAACCATGCTACAGCCGAGCTACAGCAGGCGCTACAGCTGGCCATGGTGAGGGCTTTCACAGGTGGCAACACGGGCAGTGATGGGTTCACACACAGCCCTGCTGCTGGCTACACTGTCCCTGCTGCTCCCGCTGCCTCCTCCGCCCCTGCCTTCCCAGCCTTCCCTACTGCTGCTTCTTCTGCTGGTGCAACTGCTGCCACCGTTGCGGCTGCTGATGCAGGTGCTGCAACTGCTGATACTGTTGCGGCTGCTGCTAAAGCTGCTGGTGATGCAGCTGGTGCCGCTTCTGGCTCCCCTGCTGCTGCTGGGAGGGCAGCATCTGCAGAAGCAGCGTCCATGGTTGAGCTTGCGAGGGCCATGACTGCCGTGTTTGAGGGCGCTGGGAACGCGGACTTTCAGGGAAGCTTCCTCGACAACCATGACTCGCCCCGCTTGCTGGGCTTGCTGCAAGGAGGTGAGAGATTGCACAGAACTCGCCTTGAGAATTGCTCCTTCAGAAATCGCCCAAGGAACCTTGCACAGCAATTGCTTCAATAGCTGCTCACAGATTGGAGGCAACTCGAAGATCAAAGCTTGCTTGGTTTTGCTGCAAGGAGGTGAGAGTGGCGTGTGTCAGCAGGCGAAATGAACGGATCCCTCGTGAGGCGAGGCGAGCCCATGCGCGTGGGTTAACCCCTCCATGCACTAAGTGCTGCCTCCCCAGTGACCCAGTCCCATGAGCAAAGCAAACAAGCTCTGCCTCCCCAGCCCTCTCCTCCATTGCTCGTCCACCTCTTCCCATCCCCTCCCCATCCTCCTCATATCCCCCGGGATTCTCTCACCCATGCAAGTCAGCCGTTGCTGCGCAATGCGCTGGTGCTGCTGCTCTGCTGCTCACCTCCAGAGACATCCTCAGACACGTCTCAAAAGTACACCCACGATGCAACTCCCTTTCTTCTTTTACCCAATCCCCTCTCCCTCTTCCCTCTCACCCATGCAAGTCAGCGTTGCTGTGCAATGCATTGGTGCTGCTGCTCTGCTCTCACCTCTAGAGGCATCCTCAGACACGTCTCAAAAGTCAACCCCAGAAACAATTCCCTTCCTTCTCTTCCCCGCTCCCCTCTCCCCCCCCCCCCCCCTTCTTCCTCTCACCGCTCAGACCAGCAGTTGCTGCGGAATGCGCTTGCGCTGCTGCTCACCTCCAGAGGCATCCCGCTCGTCTACTCGGGCACCGAGCAGGTAGGCACTGGGTGAGTGGGTGGGTGGGTGGGTGGGTGGGTGGGTGGGTGGGTGGTGGGTGGGTGGGTGGGTGGGTGGGTGGATGGGTGGTCAAATGGGTGGTTGGGTCGGTGGTTGATGTTGCTCGCTTTGCTACTTCCCCCGCTTCCTCTCAACCGCTGTAGTTAGCTTGTCCGTGCTCTTCTCCCTTTGCTCCTTCCCCCCCCCCCCTTTCAAGCCTGCATGGTTGGTTGAATCCAGCCCCCAGAACCCACAGCCAGCCCCTTTTGAGTCGACTCAAAAGTCAGCACAGCCACAGCCAGCCCCTTTTGAGTCGACTCAAAAGTCAGCACAGCCACAGCCAGCCCCTTTTGAGTCGACTCAAAAGTCAGCACAGCCACAGCCAGCCCCTTTTGAGTCGACTCAAAACTCAGCACAGCCACAGCCAGCCCCTTTTGAGTCGACTCAAAAGTCAGCACAGCCACAGCCAGCCCCTCGGCCCTGCCACTTGCACCCCTCGTTATTATGTCCTGACCGCTGCTGCACTTTGCTCATGTTGCAACTTCTCTCTTTCCTCCTTCTCCTCTCCCTCAGGCCTTCATGGAGGGCCTGACCCGCAGAACCGGCGAGTCCCTCTGGCCCTTCCTCAACACACACCACCCTCTCTACGGCTTCCTCGCTGCTGTGATCCGCTTCCGGCAAAAGGTAACTTAATTGCACATGGTGCTCCCCTCTGCATGCTCCATAAAACCTCCCTGTTGCCCCCACTTTTGCAGCTTATTGAACAGCAGTCTGTTTCTTCTAAGGTATGTAATCTGATATCCCTGTTCCTGTGCATGCCACGTCATCTAATATCCCTGCCGCGTCATCTGTTCTCCCTCTCCCTTTGTCGCATCTGCATCTATGCAGGTGGGCCTGTGGCAGTACAAGCAGCAGCACATTCGATTCGTCTCCACCCGCTTGTTGGTGTTCCAACGCGGGCCAGCGGTCGTTGCGGTTACCAACAGCCCCTGCTGATGCTGAAGTGTTCAACACTATACATGTAACGGGTTTGAACTACAAGGAAGGCACCATTCTTTGCAATCAGTGAGTAACAAACTACTGTCTTTTGGGTACACTTTTTTACATGATTGTGGTCTTTGTTCTAGTCGTTCAATGTACCTCCTCTGTGTTTTGTTCTAGGTTGGCTGATAATGAGTGCATCCGTACAGTCCACAGGGAGGGTATATGCATTTCTCTGATAGAAATCCCAAGTTGTTTTACCCCCTTTGAGGCTTGGGGTGCAGTACTGTTGAGTTAGTAATTGACTCTAATCGGCACAAATATTGCATCCAGTTCAATTTGGAACCTCAGGAAACCTACCTATAAAACTTTAGGTTTGCTTGTTCAAGGAGAACATGGAGAAATTCCATTCTTGCAAGCGATAAGTCTTCTTGGACATTACTTCGGGTTTCTAATACTAATGAGATACACGCAATGGCCCAAACACTAATGTGATTCTTCGCAGCTTTTCTTAAGAGGGCTATCACCACGGTCTAGAACGGCAGCTCCTTCGCGGAAGTTGCTACTGCCATGCCACCAAGCCTAGCAGAGGCGGATTTGCAAGTCGCATACGAGGCTGGTTTCCGGCAAATGTCGACGTCGAGTTCGGCGGCGGCCCCTGTCTTGCTTGTCCCTTTGTTCCTTGCCCCTTCATTGCTTGCTTGTGTTGGGCTCAGAAAAGCCCTTAGGCTCTTTTCAAGGCTAAAACCTGAGTAGAATCAGCTTGCACTAGTTTGTGAGAAACAAGAGATTGATTATATCAAAGTAATACAAGCTTTTTATGTGATTACAAGGAATATGAAAAGATGCAACCAACTGTTTTACTGCTGCTGTTGCGGTTCGATACAACGACGACTTGGGCAACTGCTCAATACTGAATCAGTTGTTTGTCCTTGCTGTTGCGCTGCTTTTCGTCAAGTCAAAGGTCGGCGACCTTTGACCTTCGCGTAAGCTATTACTTTCTGTCAACCTCCTCGGTTGACTCGCCATTGCTTCGCTGTAATCCGACTTGATTGTAATCCGCCATTGTTTCGACACAACTGGAGCGTTATTTAAATGTTCCAACACTCCCCTTCGCTTCTGGAGTGTCGTCGCTGTGACGTGGCCTTGTCCAATCAGCAACATGCAGTACTCAAACTTCTGCTTTCCGAGTTTCTTGGTCAAATAATCAGCTGCCATTTCGGATGTGGGGCAGTAGGACAGCTTGAGCCTCCCCTTGTCGGTCTCGTCCGTCACAAAGAAATATTGCAGGGCGATGTGTTTCGTTCGATTCGCAAACCCGCTCTTGTTCGCTATGCGGGTTGCTGATTGGTTGTCGCAAAACAGGGAGAAGCTGGGAAACTAAGCCAGCTTCGCTTCTTCCAGTAGTTCGGCAGAGATACATTCCTTCTTTGGTGGCTGAGCAGAGTGCGATATATTCTGCTTCAGCTGAGGATAGAGAGCAATTAGCTCTTGCTTGCTCGACTGCCATGAGATGGGGCCGATAGGTTCGAGTCGGTAGATGTAGCAAGTGAGTGATCGCCAATTGTCAGAGTCGTCGGCGTGGTTAGCATCGACGTAACCGATTAGCTTGGGCGTCGTAGTTACGGTTTTGTGATAGGTTAGGCCGATCGTCGGGGTGCTGACGAGATAGTGGAGTGCGCGGTCGAGCTCCGCCATGTTCTCAACTTCAGGCTTCTTGAGGTAGGTGGCGAGTTGGCTCGCTGAGTACGATAGATCCGGCTGGCAGGTAACGGCTGCGAAGGGTAGGCATCCTAGTTTTCGTTGGTAGTTTTGAATGCCGGCCGGTTTGAGCTGAGTGATCTTTTCTTTGCGACTTCCGTCGTTTAGTGGTATGGTATGGTGATGGTGGTTGGATTTAGTCTGAAACGCTTGGCAATGGTGTCGGCGTATTTTGCGGCGCTGAGGTAGATTGTGTTTTCCCCCTTGTATGTTGAGTCCCAGGTATTGTGTCACGGTATACGAGACGGTGAGCGTGAGGTCCGCTGCAGCTCCCCTTCGACCAGGTTGTGATGCCGTCGGTTGAGCTGATGTAGAGCAAGTCGTCCACGGAGACGATGAGTAAGATATAGTCGGCGCCCTTCGTAAGTCGGTACATTCCTTGGTCGTGTGGTAATTGGCGGAATCCTATGCGAATGAGCCGAGTGTGTAGGTACTGCTGCACAGCCTCAGAGCTTGCTTGATGCCGTATAAGGACTTCGGCAATTGTCGTATTCACTGAGAAAACTGAAACGAGAATGAATAAACTATGAAACAGTAGGTACAAGTACTAACCCTTATTGGGTTTGTACTCCTTATGGGATACCCCACTACAGCCTACACAAAATGTGTAAGCTACAATGTTCTGACACACCCCCAAAGGCAAAGTGGGGGAGAACAAGGGGTCACAAGACCAGTCAAGCAAAGCAAAGAAAAACAAGCTCAGGTGATCACAAAGTCACCACACATTCCGAGCACAAGGTCAAGGCCACAAGGCCAGTTCACATGCAGGAGTACTGTTGAGATAGAGGCGAGGAATGGTACACTATGAAATGAAAGAAGTACAAGTACCAACCCTAATTGGGTTGTACCCCCTATGGGCTACCCCACTACAGCCTACATATATGCATCAGCAATATATAATCATCTGACACACCCCCATAGGCAAAGTGGGGAGAGCAAGGGGTCACAAGACCAGTCAAGCAAAGCAAAGCAAAGCAAGCTCAGGGTGGATCTCAAGGATACCACACAAATTCCGAGCACAAGTCAAGGCCACAAGGCCAGTTCACATGCAGCAGAGCTATATATATAACAGTGCTAAACAAGCAAGAGCAAGGATATATATATGCAGCAGTACAAGCAAGGTCAAGAGGTAAGCAAGTGAGGCCCAGTGGGCACAAGGCCTAGCAGAGTGCAAAAGCGCTGATGGTCACACGAGGCGGAATTGCCTTGGTGAACACATCAGCAGTGTTGGCCTCAGTGGGCCACGAAACGCAGGCGAAGCTGACCACGCTGCTGCAGCTCTCGAGCAAGGAAGTAGCGCAGAGCAATGTGCTTCGTCCTGTGCTCCAGTCTGTGCTCCTGACACAAGGCAATGGTTGCCTTGTTGTCGACGTACAGCACTGGAGGAGAACGAGGCCGCTCTCCAAGGTCAGTCAGCAGGTAGTGAGCCAGCGAAGCTCCTGGGCAGCCATGGCCGTGGCGTAGATCTCAGCCTCACAGCTGGAGCTGAGAACAGAAGAAGAGCGAGTAGAGCGCCAAGAGACAGAACCAGAGCAAGACTGAAGGTGTAACCCTGAGACGACCGCTGAGTAGCCTGGTCGTCAGCCCAAGAAGCGTCTGAGTGCCCAGTGAGCACAGGCCGCTAACGCCCTCCAAGCACTAGCCCCATGCCCGACGTACTGCACAAGTAGCGCAACACCCTCTTAGCTGCATCCATGTACTCCTTCCGGGACGGCCGGGAGCAACATAGCGTGCTAAGATGCTGAGAGGGTATGCGAGGTCAGGTCGAGTGCAGGTCATTAGGTACATGAGGCAGCCCACAAGCTCTGGATACGGACCACTCGACTCTAACGGACTCATCCGAAGGCAGAGCTAAGAGCGAGTGTCCGGTAGGCAAAGGAGTGGACTGAGGCGAGGAGTACGTGAAGCCGAAGCGCTGAAGGACCTGCTGCACCATGTGTGACTGAGTCAGGGGTAATGGTGCGGCGTGCTCTGTCCCGGGTGATCCGCAAGCCAAGATAGCTTGTCAGTTCACCAGGTCTGTGCACGTGTGCTCTTCTGCAGCTCGGACTTCACGTGGGCGAGTGCAGCAGTGTCCGCAGTGGCAAAGACCAAGTCGTCGACGTACACGAGGATGTAGAACGGCGGCAGCGAGGTGTCGGTGCGCAGAAACAGCGACGGGTCAGCAGTAGAAGGAGCAAACCCAAGAGCCGCAAGTGTAGTCCTCAGTGTGTCGTGCCACTCACGCGGGCCTGGCGGAGACCGTAGACTGTGCCGCCGCCGGAGGCTCCACTGGGTACCGGGAGGGAACGACCCAGTGAAGCCAGGAGGGCGGCGCAGCCAGATCTCCTCGTGCAGGCGGCCCTGCAGGAAAGCAGTGCTGAAGTCAAGAGAGTGTAGCTCGTAGTCACGCTGAGCAGCGACGTGCAGTAGAACCCGAAGAGTGGTCATCTTCGGGTCGGGGAGAAGGTCTGAAAGAAGTCAACTCCCTGTCGCTGACTGAAGCCACGAGCCACGTAGCGCGCCTTGAAGACAGGCGGAAGAACCCGGCGGCCGCTTCACCCTGAAGATCCACATGCCACTGACAATGTTCGCCCCAGGAGGGGGAACAGCGTCAACGTAGGTGCCTGTGGACTTCCAGGAAGCCCATCTCTGCGTCCATGGCTGACTGCCACTGAGAGGAGTAGGGACCGGCCATCGCCTCTGCGTAAGAGCGTGGGGTCGGGATGTCTAGAGCATCCGGGTCTCCCTCAGGGGCAACAAAGCATGGACACGAGATGGGGCAAAGCGGCGGCAAAGCACGAACGAACTCCTCCTGCCTGTCCTCAAGGACGTCCGTGCCAAGAGCAACAGTCACCCCCGACGGACGGAGGACAGGCAGACGCAGACGCAGCAGACGCAGACTCAGCAGACATCAGAAGACTCAGCAACAAGACTGGCCAGCGTAGTCTAGACGACACGCAGCAGCAAAGTCGGCCAGCTCAGCAACTAGGGCAGAGCAGCAGCG